GAGGGCCTCAAGGCTTTCACCTTCGCCGGAGTCGGGGGCGTCACCTGCGCCACGACAAGGGCTCCAGCGGATGAGACGGGAACAGCCCGGAGGGCTGATCTGGACTTCCAACATGTGCAAATCTTTAAACACTCCATCTATTATATTATGAAATATTTACCTGATGACCTCAATGTAATATGTCACATTGTCACACATGGAGTCTCCAAGTGTCTGGGGATGTTGCACGACACAAGGCGACACGGCACCGGTGCAGATCCGGAGGGAAAAACCGAGTCGCTCCGCCTGCGACAAAGAGATCCGGCGGGTCTTCGCAGCACCTGACCCGCGTGCGTGCGTGCACACCCGCGTATGGCCATTGAAAAGAGTCGGGAAAATTCTCTGTGTTGACGACCACGGGGTTGCACAGGCTGAGAAAAATAAAGGAACTTCGACGGACCCGGGGAAGGTTTCAGGGTTGATCTGTCAATCCAAAAGATTCTCGGGATTCTCGGGAAGCATTATACTGAATTCAAATGAAAAGCTGTTTTAGACAGTACAACTACCTTGGAAGTAGGGACATGTGGCATTTATGTATATATTTATGTTTAAACTTTGTGTTTCCACAATGGCCCAAACCAAGAAAGAGTTACCATGAATAGAGTTTCAGACCGAAGACCTTTCGGGTGCACCAAACATTGACCGGCGCAGACGGAACCCGATGGCCCCAGCACGAAGGCAAGCATGGATCGTATGGTACAGTAGATGGCGAAATACATCGTTTTGCCAATCTATCTATCTATATACCTTTGTGTGTTCATGTCTGTTTTCCTTGTAATGCGCTGATGAAACTCAGCACTGCTCCCGGGTTGTTGGAGGACAAACCAGTGGAAACATGTGGAAACCAACAACTAAAAACACATTATACCGCATACAAAAACACACACACAATCACCATCACCAAAAGAATACGGTGACCTCCAGTGGCTTTCCAGACGTTTGCACTGGATTTGTCTTCGATTTCACCCATGCTCCACCGTCCACCGGTCCACCTGGCGCGTGGTCGTGCTTCCGCCGCAGCGCTGTGAGTCGACCTCACCGATGGTCCGCGGTGGACGGACCTGTTGAGGTCGAGGATGACAGGGGGCTCCAGGTGCCATGACCCACCGCCATCATAGTAAGGCCAGGAGCCACCGCCATCTAGCGTCCTTGCTCCGTTCGTAGCGATGCCCTTTGCTCCTAGTAGCTTCTTGGCAAATATGAAGGAATGGGGGTGGCTGGATCCAAAGGAATCTCTATGGTTCAACTCCTAGCAAATGCAGGCAACTGCCGTCGGAATCCTTCCCTATCTAAGTCGCAGCAATCAGCTTTGGGGGGATCCCTATTTGGAAAAGTCCCTCTGGAAGTGGAAGATGAGGTTCCACCAAACTGAGTAGCTTCCGATTCGGGGAGAGACTCATGTGGATTTTAAGGATCGTCCGAAAGAGCAATCCTTTGGATGATGGTGCGATGGTGGACACCGAGAGCTTAAGACATGCTGCGCCGCATGAATTGCATATATCTATAGTTCATGGTGAGGGTGTCTGTAAAATGAAGAATGATGACAATCCTGGAAAACATCCACCGCCATGATCCGTGGGTGCATGCTTAAGATAAGAATGTGATGTCGTTCCCTCAGAGGTTGCTTGAACCGAACTCCATCTCCAACATCTCCAATTCCACCTTCACTTGACACGAAAACGGCGCAACCGCCCTCACTTGGAGGCCTCAAATGGCCTCTCTCTCTCTCACGGGGCGGTGGCGGCGTGGCGGCTCTTCTGCGGACGTCTTCTGCGTCGGATTCCATTGACTCCCGTGAAGGCGAAGTAGCAGCGTCAAAGCCGGCGATCGTACCATCCCCAGACGCTCCATGTATGCCATAAATGCCGCCCCATTGACCCCCCAAAACCACCCTAATGTAGGCATATATGGCATACATGGAGTGTGTGGGATCTGTGGCTTGACCATCTCGGTATTTGAAGTGACTCACCTGAAGACTGAAAGATTGAAGTCATGTGAAGTCCCTCTGAAAACACGGCTCTGTACTCTCGCTCCACTGTAATGACTCTCCTGGAGGGGACGTACTAGCGGACTCCGTGAGCAAGCAAATGTAATATACATCCGACCCCTGTTTTGGCATTACAAAGGCCAGGTTTTGAGTGGTTGTACTCCAAAGAAAATTCGCTTGGTCTGGTTGACAGGTGTTTATTTCATAGGATGACCTTACGGACTTTTAAGTACGATTCCTATTGTACCAATATCAAGAGAGGTAACCCCTACAGCGTGCAGGTTGTTTGGATGATGTTCTCCATCTTTCATGCCTGCATGGTCGAAGCCTCGCCTGCATTGTCGAAGCGAGTGATGACATCTTCACCTGCTGACTCCAAAGCCATCCCGGAAATAGAAGCAAAAGGTATCCCAAACACGAGCCATGGAACTGGCATCTGTTGAAAATGGGTCAATGTCATCAATGTAGATAAATATGTCAGTCCCAGACAGGTCGTGTTTGGGGACGTAGCTCAGAAACTGCTGATTTGGCGAAAGGAGACTGCACAGTTGAGCGAATCTTCCTGCACATGTCACATACGGCACCTTTTTGGTGGTGCCTTTCAAAGTACGAACAGAACAGGTGCTCTTGGGAGATTATTGTTGTGCAAAAATGGAGCAAAAAACACTGCTTGTTGAAGTGAATTACACCTCACAAACCTGGCATCTGAATGCTTTCGAGCTATTTTTTTGATCAACTGTTGTTCAGACCAGGCCTCCAGGGACTTGGAGAGGATACCAAAAACAAAAAATCACAGTTATGTTGCCATTGGGCAAAGAACGATTCAAAAATGCGCATATTGCCAGCAGTTCTTAAACTTTGCATATTTCATGTGTTTTTTGAAGTGTTTGGGATAGGGAGCCTGCTCCCTTGTCGAATTGTTTTGGTTTTGATTGTCGCAAATGACTTGCTCTAAGGTATTGAAACCGTACGTCAGTCTGTTTCAGCATCATCTGCAGAGTGAGCCGTGCGTCCTTTGCATCACCGTTGGAGCGCGGCAGCGACCCGATCAAAACTGCCCCGCACAAACGGCCTAAAACTGTTTGCATCACCAGCATGTCACCTCACCTCCTCGCCTGGTACATGATTTATCCATGTAAGTTATGTTTTAAAGTGGATATAGTTAATCCGTTAATCTATGTTAATCTAAACACGACCATCATATGTTGCAATTTAAGCGTACATAGGCACCAAAGGCTTTGACCCGGGGACCCCGCCCACCTTCCTCCTCGCACTTCGAATGGAGCGCTAGCGATGCCTGGGACGTCTTGCGTTTTTCGGAACGTCGTCGGGAACGTCGTCCACCATCGGTGGGAGCGAGGTTCGTCCAAAAAAGTGTGTATTTAAAAGGGGAGATCCCCTGGCTTCCATGGATTTTGGTCGACTGGTCGATTGTCCGAACCGAAACCAGGTTGGAACGCCGGCGGTCGGTCTCCCGATTTGATACAGTTCGGGTACAGTATATCCCGTTACCAGGGATATACCCGTGGATGATGGTTAGGTTCCGGGCCGCTCTAAAATAGCGATGTTCTTGTTGACCGACTGTGACTGTTACAGGCATAATGGGACAGACCCTAGATACAGTACCCTACAAGTCCAGTCTGACCCACTGACCTCCTCCAATAAATTGAGGTCCGAAACCCTGACCTGTAGGGGTAGTGAGAGTGGGAGTCCGTGCAAAGGATACCAGTCAAATGTTCTTATTTCCGTAGATTTGGGGGGACTTCACAGGGGGAGTGAGGGTGAATTATGTTTTTGGCCTTCCTCCTCAGGACCCCACCCATGACCCACATCAACCATTATTTGATCCACATTGTCCACATAAACGTTCAATTACCCACCTCAAGGGAAAGCACAAGAAAATAGTCAGACCGCTCACCGTCTAAATGGAATGCACTGCTCTACTGTGACTCATGTGTCATCTGCAGGAATCTTCTCCCTCATCGAGCCTAGCCTGAAACCTTTTGGCCATCTTGGCCAGACCCAGCTGGCCACCGAGCAGGCCACCTGCTTCAACCCCCGAGTGTAGTTGCTGGTCAAGTGCCATCTACTTGGCTTGTTAAGTAGGGTATCGCTCCAAAAATAGATAATATCATTATTCCATCCTCTCCCACACATGAGCAAACTTCGAACCCCCCCCCGAGACTTCTTGGTATAATCCTGATTTGTTTTCGCAGCACCTTGCTTTATAGACGTTTTGGAAGCTGCTCACAGGTTCTTTTCACACACTCCCCATGCCTGTCCTCAAAGGGAGGCGGAGCCTTCCAATACTCCCAGATGCCAGCCTTACGTGCGAGTGAACTGGCAACAGCCAACTTGGACGTACCTCTCTCAGCCAAACTGATTGGACAAGAACACCTGGAAACAATTAACACAGTGATCAATTCACAAACATCAGGGCAAGAGTCCTGTAGCCTAAATCGACCTAATCCATCCTAATCCCCGATAAATCCCTAAGAAAAGTCTGGCTCAGATCTTCCATCTCCAGTTCAAGCTCCAGTTCCTTCCCTGCCTGTTCGAGCACCGGCTCCTGAGGCAAGTCTTCGGGCCTCGCTCATTGGAATGAATCGTCTTGCAACAAATGGACAGGGTCCCCACCAGGAACCTCCCGGAAGGGTCCCTCCTTACGTGGTGCAGGGTGCTGTCTGGACCGTTTGGGACTGTCTGGTGATCTCGGAGAGTAACGGGGAGCACCCCAGCCCCAAGTTCATCATAGTAGAAATCTGTAATATAGACTCTAGATCTAGACTCTTGATGAATGAACCACCCCATTTGAATTAGAAATCCTCTGCCTCTTCCCGGGGGGGTTGTTAATCAAGAGTCTACATTACCCCCAAGCACCCTGTCTGCATCATGAGTCCAGATTGGACTCAGTGACTCAGCTCAGTACCGGCTTCCTATGTTCGACCACGTTGAAAGACCCTCGCATCGAATTCTATCGCATCCTGAAATCGGCGGTCAGCTTGCTAAGCGCTTCAGTTCCAAACGCAACATGTCCGCCCAGTGGATCCCAGTGACTGTATAATGGAACCAGGTTTCTACCGCTTCCTGTCGGGGTGCCCTGTCTGGAGACCTGTTTACGTGTGGAGATATCCATTGGTGACCCCTTGGAACCAGGTTTCTACAGTAGGTCTATGGTTTTTGTTGTCTTCGGAACCATTGCTTACCTCCCAGCGGTCTTCCTCGAACTGCCTGGATCCACCTCGAAGAAAGTCGCCGTGTTGCTCGACCTCGACGTGACCCAGATTTCAGCCGTTTCAGCCGGTGTCCGGTGGTTCCACTGAGAGCTCCCCTCTCTGTATAGAAACCCTGGGCCGGCAGTAGAGGCTCTCCTGCAGAACCGAGGCTCGCCACACGGCGTCGGACGACGCAGACGCGGCTCTATTCGTTGGACTGGCAGCTGTCCGTCGGCAGTTGGGACTTTGTTGGGACACCCAGAGTTTCTGCAGGGTCTTTGTTAATGTCTTTGGGTAGACCATCTGGAGGATGTGCGGGCCAGTTTGTTTCCGTTTCTTTGAGAATAGAAGATTGGCAAGAACATGTCCCCATGTTTTCCCTGATCGCCCTCTTTCAGGCCCTGTCCCCAGCAAGACTGCCGCGTCTTTTTTTCCTGGGATGAACATCCATGACGTCAGAGGGAACTTGAAACTGCAAAATAATGGTTGGTTTCCAAAATGTTTTTTCCCAAAAATGGTGCGCTCATCGCAATTCCATGGGGGCCCGCTTCTAAATCTCCTTTAAACTCCAACCACACTCAAACCACAGGGATGTTAAACATGAAAGCATGTCAACTGCAAAAACTGTGGGAGATGTCTAGGGGCCTGTTGAGCTGCTGGAGCTGTCGTTGCTGCTACTGCTGCTGCTGGACTTTCCCATTTTCGTTCTCAGAAATCTTCAGGACAACATAGGAAGGATGTAAGAGCTGACTCAAAAGATTTGGATGTTGGATGGGCAAGTGGCAACTGGTCAGGAAATGGACCGTCGTCTAGCGTGGTGCTAGCGCGGATCTAGCGCCAGCCTAGCGCAAAAATATCCGTCGATTTCTTTATCCTGTCAGATTCTTATGTTTCCTGCTTGCTTGTCTTCTTCTTGTTGTGCATTCTTCTTCTTCTGCTTTGTTTTTATTTTTCTTGTCTTGCTTCTTCTTTTTCCTGCTCTCTGCTTGTTTCTTTGTCCTGCTTGCTTATCCTGTTATGAAGAAATCTAGCGCCAACCTAGCGCCAATCTAGCGCTGCCTTGCTGTATCACCATATTCTGCTGGGGGCCCGCTTCTAAACAAAGACTTAAAAACATATCTCCAACCTTACAAGTTTACGTTTATCTATATTTATTGAGTAGGGCCTTTTGAGCGCAGTCCATATATGTTTCATATATGTTTTCCCCAGATAGCGTGAGCTATTGGGGTTCTTACTTCAATATAGGAAGGGATGGATGTGTGCGCTTTCGAGCCTGGGTGCTGTAGGGTGCCGCTGCTGTGCGCGCATGGGAGCTTGCTGGTGCCGTTGCTGTGTGCGACTGTTGTGTGCGCGTGGGAGCTTGGGTGCTGCTGCCGCTGCTGTGTGGTGCTGCTCTGTGCTGCTGCTGTGTGCGCGTGGGAGCTTGGGTGCTGGTGCCGCTGCTGTGTGCGACAATTTTGTGCCCGTGGGAGCTTGGGCGCTGGTGCCGCTGCTGTGTGCTGCTGCTGTGCGCGTGTGCGAGCTTGGGTGCTGGTGCCGCTGCTGTGTGCGCGTGGGAGCTTGCGTGCTGGCGCCGCTGCTGTATGCGGCTGCGGTGTGCGTGTGGGAGCTTGGGCGCT